GGTGTGTGTTTTGCACAAATCAATGAACCCACAGGCCGTCTCTTGAAGAGGTCTCATTAAGCTCTGGAGTACCTGAACAAATCTAAAGTGTTCATTTAGTGCCTCACTGTTAATGTGAAAACCTCCTAGAGAGCCATTAAGTGATACTTATTAATAATTTCTGTGTTTCGCTTCAGGTTCTCTCAAGATATCGCAGCGGTAAATTACCAAAGGCTTTTAAAATAGTCCCAGCGCTTTCAAACTGGGAGCAGATTCTCTATTTGACGGAGCCTGAGACTTGGACTGCAGCTGCCATGTACCAAGCAACAAGGTGAGTCCCCCAGGTGCCCTGGGTATTGCTTTATAAAGTTATATAGTTTAAGAGTTATCATACTTACTGCATGGACTTCAACACGGTACAATGAAGTATTTTTTCTATGCTTTTGTTGTAGAATCTTCTCCTCCAACCTGAAAGAGCGAATGGCCCAGCGGTTTTACAACCTGGTGCTGCTGCCCCGAGTGCGGGATGATATCGCAGAGTACAAGCGACTCAACTTTCATCTCTACAGTGCTCTGAAGAAGGCCTTGTTCAAACCAGGAGCGTGGTTTAAAGGTGAGACAGAAGGGATGTTTAGCTTTCTTTTTTAAGATAGAGGAGACTGATATTCTAGCTGCAAGGATTAGTGGAGTTATTGATTAGATCAATCAGCTAAAAATGTATCAACAGGGATTTGAATCATTGTTTAATTATTTTAGTCATTTTTTAAACACAAAATGCCCGATAGATAGATAGATGGATGGACGGATGGATGGATGGACGAATGAATGTACTTTACTGATCCCAAGTTATGAAATTATGTTGTTATGCAGACATTACACATTACAAATATAAATAAACACTAGAAAAGAGAAATATATATCAAAAGAAAATAAACTCAGCAAATAATTAAAATAGCTTAAAACGGAGTGTCACAAAAACCTTGGTATATAACATAATAAGATACAGTATCTATAGAATATCTGTTATAATAGACAGTATAGAGAATATACTAGAGTAAGATAAAAATATAATAAAATAGAAAATACAAACATTGTATAAAATATAAGCGAAATGTGTGCAGAGAAGTTTTTGTATACTATCGTCCACATATATTCTTTATTAGCAGTGATCTGAAAGTGGATGAAAGTGTGGTGACTGCAGTTCAGGCTGCCCTTTAACATTACTAGGGGTCATCTGAGTCATTATTAATGTACATTTGTTGCTCAATGCAAGTTTGCAGAATATTTAGTTTTAAAGGACTGAATTTATTAGTGCCACTCATCTAGCTGTTTAGATGAGTGGCATCTTGTTTACATAAGTTAAATGATAAATAACATCCACCTCCTCTGTGATGAAGCTGAGAGTAAACTCTAGACAGTGTTAAAATAGTTCCTGATATGCCTTTCAGACCTCTCAAACTGTGTTAACATGTTAGGTATTACTAGCCATTGTTTTATTAAACACCCAGTGAAATCTGGGCTAAGCTCTACACATGTGACCCGTGAAACTAAAAACTGGGTGAATGAGTAAATGAAAGAGAGGATTTGACAGCTTGTTGCAAAGAATAAAATACAAGCTTTCTGGGACGCGTCACGTTTCTAATTTGAGCTCTAAATTTAGACGTTGTATTCTGAGGACACTGACAGGATTAGTTGATGTCCACAGGGTTAATAACACCATTGGTTCTGGAAGCACAGTAATTAACACACTCAAATTGAATTGGGTCAAATCTTTCTGCGTGTATCTAGAATTGGTTTTTGCCAATGATTGTTGAGTTTCTTTAATCCTGTCAGTACTGTGTGTTCACTGTCCCAGTTTGATGGGACTGTTCTCCCCAAACATCCCGTGACCCATATTTTGAAAACCAGCAGTATGAGACGCCACCACTAAGTGGCAGTGTTGCTCACAAATACACTGTACAGCATACCACATACAGTATGAATGAGAGAGCTAACTGACCTCTAGTGATTGGTATTTTACATTTATTCTTCCATTGTTGGGGTTCATTTAATCTACTGATTAAATATTTAATTAATGAAACTGATGAAGTGATGGTCAATTATAAGTTATTTTCTTTGTTTTTCCATGTGATCAGTGCCCCCAAAGGCTCTAAAATGATGTTATATAAATTTTTAAAAGAAATGATGTATATTCATTATGATTTTAGTTTATCATGTGAACAAACATGAAAGCAGACAGGAAACACGGAACTATATAAAGTGTATTACACCGATCAGCCATAACATTATGAGCTGACTGGTGAATGACTAAATTGTGATGACCAGACGACTGGGTCAGAGCATCT